TCTAGTTCATGAGTTCGTGGAGATTAGGTAATGGCAAGTGGAAAGAGATAGAAAGGATAGGCGGTAAGGGAAAGGTTGTGTGTTTCGTCCTGGATTTCCTAGTAGACTCGTTAATAAGGCTACCTGGGAGACCTGTGCTTAAGTTAGCTGGCGAACGATAGTTCAGAACCAGCTGATTTACATGGGTCGTTGTTTAGTTAGGGTTTGCTTCGACTTCTCGGGTTTAAGTGTTAAACAGTATATTTCTGAGAGGTTAGGAATACCGTTCTTGTCCCAATCACGTGCGTTTGTTTACCTCTATTGACTCGACTCGTTGGACGGATTGTAGACGCAGAGGGATTGTTAATCTCAGGTTTTCTTTTGTGTGCGTTTGTGGGGTGAACTTCTGGATTCGTTTCTGGGAGCGATTTGCCCTCTTTTACCAGATGTATTGATGGTGTTACCCGCCTCCGTGAGGAGGAACTTGTTAGACTCAGGTTGGAAATTGTATATATACAAACGGGAGCCTATAGCGAGGACTAGCGAGAATCGGTCGTTAGCTCGTCCCTCTGGTGGTGGAAGGTAGGAAGTACCGCCACAAATTAATAAAGTAAAAGACGATTTTTAATAGGATCCAAGTATTCAGGGTTCACGATATAGGCTGTCTAAATGGACAACTAGCTTTGAATCTAGTCTGAGGTGTTAATTGCCGGTGATTGTGTTAAGAATGGAGAGGTAACGATGGAAGAGGAACAGAGAATTCGACGTGGACGATTAATTGCTTCACGGTTTGATAGGGGCAGATTAATCTCCCCTTCTCGTCCGATAGACGTGTGCTTCAGGGTTAAATGACGTCTTTTTCGAAAACGATGGTGAATTAGATTTTCTTCATTTGCAGAAAAAATCCGATTTACGTGGAATTTTAACGAGACTCTCTTTTCGAAGCTTCGTGCTTAACAGAGTTGTTACGTTGTTCAAATTCCATTGAAAATTCTTCGAGTTCACGGTATTGATTATCGAGAACGCTGGAATAGTAAGGATGTCTGCTTGAGTACTTCCAGCACGTATTAGAATAATCGCGAGAGAGTGATTAGGCGTAGACGTTCTGAGGAGAGATATTCTCCTTAAGATCGGCGAACAAATAAAATTTTAATAATAATATTTTATTTACGGACGTAAATTCTTTGATATCTAATACGTGATTTAGATAAAGAGAGCAAGAGTTAGATTACAATGTTGTCCATGATGAAGATAATTTATTTATAGCATAATTGTTGATATTAGAGCGATCACACAAGGATAAAAAAGAAATTTTGCAATAAAAATTGCATAATCTTTTCGCTTTTTGCTTCTCTTGAAAGTTCTACTTTTTCGTTCTTGGAACGTTATGGTTTGTGAATTCTACGTTACTCAAGAGTGAAAATACACAGTATGTTAAAAATATTGTCAGAATTGTGACATGCTATTTAATATCTTCTATTCGGTAGTCAATTGGCTAAGGACAGTAGAGAGAAAATTAAATAAAGTAAAGAAATGAGGAGGTGTAAATAGGATAAAGATGTAAGTACATCACAGATGTAGATATGATAAAGAAGATAGGAGAACATTCAAATATAACACATGTAAGAAGGTGTGATGAGAGTGGAAGATAAGATTTAATGTAAACCTAGTCCATTCCTTGGCTCTTGAGGCTGGAATTATCACTAAACTAAACATATCTTCTATTCTATCCGATTATAAGAATTTCCATTCTACACTCTCAAGCAATCTATTACAGCAAGATTTCACTCTGGAGAATTCCACATTTGGCATCCGTTATCTAATCAAGATAAAACTATTATAAATATTAAGTCATCCCATAAGTTCTTCCCGAGAGCGAAAAATATTTTAATGAGAAAAAATTGTGGAACAAGAAGACGCTCACGTTTTTTTTTTTTTATTAAATTTAAAGGTTCACTGAAAATACTGATCTAAATGATAAAATTCGGCACGAATTTACAGAACGACCTAATACGAGTAAAATATTCTGACAAAGAATGAACATGTTAAAAATGTTAAATACTATGCATGTTTACGCTTGGAACTGTTTCTATCGTTCCTCGGCCGTTTCGTATCTTTACGAAGATCAATGCAATAAACTGCAACTGCCGGTGCTACGGGACGTGAAATGGCGAAAGGTTGGAGCGTTTCCCCGTGATGATACTAACCTGGTATCGCGCTACAAATTGACCGTAAAATGCAGAACACACTCGGTAGTAGAATCGAGTCGCAAAAAGCCCTGAAATACGAACTCCGCGCGGCGCCATCCCTCATGACCCCGCCACGATCACTTCGAAACCGTCGTAATTCGTTTTATCGATACGAAGTGGAAGGGTTGCTGGGGCGGAGAACAGGATACCGCGATCCCTCCGTTATCCAACCAACGAATTATCTCTCGTAAAACAGAAGAGTCGATGCACCGCAAACGTTGCCGGCGATATCTCGCGGACTTTACGACCGCTGTTTCGTCCTGCTCCTGTTTCTTCCGGGATTTTTGGAAGAAACCTGTGATTCCTCGCGAGACTATTTCCATTTTTATCTCTCTGGTTTCCTTAAATATTTAGAACGTTTCTCCTTTGTGTCAGTGTAAACGAAAAATATTTCTTCTTCGTGTCAGTGTAAATAAGAAATATTTCTTCTTCGTGTCGGTGTAAAAAAAGATGTTTCTTCTTTGCGTCAGTATAAAAAATATCGAATGTTAAATTTTATTAATACACAATTTTCTAATGATATTTTATTTTTGCACAATATTCACTTTGTGTTATTATCAAAATATTGAATTAAAAAGTAAAGAAAAAAAATACTAAATGCTTTATATGTATGTATCTTTGTAAATTTAAAGGAAAACAGCTATCAAAAATAATGAGGAAATATTAAATCCTTCGAATGTTTAAAAAGGATTTCTCTGCAAGAAAGTTTTCATAATTATTGTCTCAATTCCTTTCGCTATTCGTGGGATTCGTTTGTTGCATTTGAAAAAGGAACGCGAGAACTTATTCTTTAACAGGATTGTTTATAAAAGAATCTCGATGCTTGCTACTTTCTTTTTTCTACATGAAATGAACTTTTTAATACTTAACATTAATAATTGGAAAGTTGCCTTTTAAGAGGATCCTATAATAGTAAAGAAAAGAAATTGAGAATATGTGCGTTGACCTGATTCCCTCTAAAGGAACGTCGATTTTTATCTGTTTAATATTGCTGTCTATTTAAAATTTAAATTAAACCCCAGGATATTTAAAAAAACCAAATCCTACAGCAATTGTAGTTTCTCTGCATTTCTACCTTTTTCTTTTTTGTTGCTTTACACGCGAAATGCGCTCTGTAATATTCGAAAAAAGAAATGACAAACTGTTCTTTTAATACAACTCTCCAACAAAGCCATCTCTATTTTTGTCTCTCTAATATTTTTCGCTGCTTTGAACATAAAGTATGCACATCCTGTAATATTTAAAGAGACGCGTTCCCCCTTTTTCCAAAAAGAAATGCAAAAATTTGTTTTATACGAACTCTGCCTCACAGTTGTGCTACCGTTGATAGCTGTTGTTTGTCGAGCCGGGTCTACACCTCGTCTAAATTTAAAAAGGAACGTGAAATAATCTAAAAAATGTTCCTCTCTACGATTATTATTTTAGTGTAAAAAATTATCAATGAATTTATAATATATATATGACGAATTATCGACTATTTTATACACATTTGTCTTTCGATTTTCACGATATAACTTAACCCTGAGGAAGAACCACTTTCCACATTTTCGGAGCTATTTTCCGCGTTAACAAGTTTCTCCGTTGAAAAACACCGACACCGTTAAATTATTTATTCCATCGAGAGCGGTTTGGCGACATTATGCGGCGGGAAAATCGTAAAACAGGGTACTACATCACGACGAAGAAACGGCACGAATTTTTGTCGATGCTCAGTCTCGATAATCCCGTTGAAAGGTGTCTGAATCGCGTCTACAAGAGAAAATTTACGTCGTGCGTGGAATAACGGAAGAAAAAATCGACGTCGAAATGAATAGAAGAAAATACGTTAATCTGGGATTAATAGAGAAATGATCGTGAATATTATCGTGGTTACTGTGGTAGTGTGTATAAGGGTAATAAAAGTGATTTGAGAAGCTAATATAGAGAGCAGCAAACCAGTAATTGACTATTATAGAGGGACAATGTAGTTTTGGAAGTTTATAATTGCTAATAAATCGAGTCGTAAATGAACAATTTAATTACGATAAGTAATATCTGATTGTAAATATTGATTGCTTAGAACTTGGGGAACGCTCATAGTATCATTAGAGTGGGGAAATTGTGTGCGATAGGCTTGTTAATCTTCGATTACTGTGAAATTTACGTTACGTTCCTAATAAATGCACCCATCTTTTGCTGTTTGCTTAAATATTCAATTTTTGTCGTTTCGTTGACTTTTCAAATTTATTGAACTATGTATTTAAATATTTAACCGAAACTCGTGGTTTCCAAATAGGGATCTTCATTTTTATACGAATTTCAATTGTAGTTCGATAAATTGATCACGTAAAAATTTTATTTTCAACCCTATCCACTGGAAATGCCAATTGAAATCCTGGCTGTTCAACTAGAAAAAATAAATTAAATTGATTGATATATGAATGATGAGAAAACCTTTGGTCCCCAAATAGGGATCTTAATTATAGTTCAATAAATATCGTTTTTAACCCTATCCACTCTAAGTGCCAATTATACTGGCACAAGTATTCGTTCCAGCGACGAGAAAATAAACTAAAATGAATTAAAACTTAATTTTGCAATAATAAAATATAAATTTTTTCAAAGGAAAAAAAGAATTATTCGTAAATTTTTCATGACAATTTTTACGTTTGCAATTATCGAGTTGCTAGAATGAATACACCGAGTGTAAAGGGTTAAAAAATTAATTGATCATTTGCTTAATGAGTTTTGCTAATATTCTAATAATGACAGAAGGTTATTTGTTTCGAACAGTTGTTCATGATCGATAACTGCGCGGACGATTGGCGGATCGCGATGACCTGGCAGAGGATCGCGCAGATTTCGATCGAGTTGTTAATCTGTGCGATCCACCCGATCCCAGGGGAGTACTACTTCCTGTGGACGACCAAGCTGGCGAACAAGGGCGGTGACTTCGGCTCGAAATGGGTGCCGTACGACGTCACCCTGTCGTTGCCGATGTTCTTCAGACTCTACCTCATCTGTCGCGTTATGCTGCTGCACTCGAAGCTGTTCACCGACGCGTCGTCCCGCAGCATAGGGGCCTTGAATCGTATTAACTTCAACACCAGATTCGTCCTGAAGACCCTGATGACCATCTGCCCGGGCACCGTGTTGCTAGTCTTCATGGTCTCGTTATGGATCATCGCCTCGTGGACGTTACGCCAGTGCGAAAGGTAAGTGATACAGATCAATATATAATACTTTCCTATACGCGGTAAAGTGATGTAGATCAATATTTTCTCGGGCGTACAGTAAGTGATGCAAATCAATATTTTTCTCAAAATATAGTAAAGTGATGGAGATTAATATTTTCTCTGGCGTACAATAAGTGATACAGATCAATATTTTCTCCTAAATACAGTAAAGTGATGCAAATCAATATTTTTCCCTAAATACAGTAAAATGATGTAAATCAATATTTTCTCTGGTATACAATAAGTGATATAGATCAATATTTTTCCCTAAATACAGTAAAACGATATAGATCAATATTTTCTCTGCCATACAATAAGTGATACAGATCAATATTTTTTCCTAAATACAGCGAAGTGATGCAGATCAGTATTTTCTCCGACGTACAGTAGATTTAGGTATCAGTTAGTTCTGCATGTTTCTAACGTAATATGGTAAACTTCTGACATGGACTAAGAGATATTTTAATGCTATTGTTTTCATTTTCGGAAAGTGCACATGTTTATTTGTGAAGGGGAATGGAAGTTTATATTACATTTGCATTTATATCTATTTTGGAGAAAAGTTGCAAGAGTTAGAATGAAAATTGCACATTAGCTTAGATCTGACGCCGTTTATTCGGTATAAAAAGGGTTTCGAGCACGGTGAAACGGGTTCAGAACTATACTTGCTAGAATTAAAGTGGAGGAGAAGCTTTTCAACGAGCCTTAAAATTCAATGGGCCTGTTAACACATGCGTACGACACTCTATTTCTCGAAGTTGCCTTCAAATATCTTAAGCTCATTACATACATTAGAATTACATTTCAGTTTTCAGTTTTTCTTCTCCGTTAAGAGTTATTCCCTCATTCTACTTCATTGCATTGTATTAAAATATTTATATTAGTATCAAAAATGAATTTTAATTCCAATTTTCCTTTTAATTCGTAAGTCTAAGGATTACCATATTTAATTAACTGTTTTCTTACTTGATACAGTGTTGAAATAGTAAATAGCTGACGCCTGTACGTATAGTCACTAAAAAAATATCATAAGTCAAAGAGTGAATAATAAAAACAAAATAAATAAAATTATTATCCAGCATTAAAATTACTATCTAAGCCAAAATATCTCGCTAATTCTCACGTCGAATATCGAAATATCGAAAAGAGTATCTTGATCCGATTGTTAAAACGTTGACGAAGGATTTACTACGGTGTCCAGATTGCCGGACCGCGTATAATTAAATTCCACCAGTAAATAGCAGGGCCGATTTCGGGAATCGTATAGGGCATGGAAACGATCAATCTTGCGGGCCAATATAAGGCTTGGCCGGCCTCTCGCGCGACTAAGCACGAATTCTCAACATTCTTTCTTTCTTTTCTTTCCGCCGTTACTCTCTCGATAAAACCTTCGCTCGACATTTCTCTCTCCCTCTCCCATCGTCTTAACGAATGGACCTCTTCCGGTCTTCTGCCCTTAAATGAGACGACGACCATCGGTTCGTCGTTCCCCCTCTTTCTCCCTTTCCCTTCATTTCCTTCTGTCCTCGTCGAATTGTCGTCCATGCACGTATTCTTCAGATGCTTTTCCCTTCCTTTTCCTATTACACGAAGGTCCACGGCCTCCGGGACGAGAACTTCCTGATTCCTCCAACCGGATGCCGATGAAATCTTCGGAGAATTTATAACGCCGCTTCGACGAGGAGGCGATCTGAAAAGATGGCACGAAGCTGATTTAAGGACGAGGGAGAAGGGGACGTTCGACTGGCTGAAAATTTAATCTATCCGCTCGATGGAGAGCTTATTAAACCGTGCATTTGTTCATTACGTTATCCTTTTATCCGGGGGAATGGAAATTCGAAGAAAATAAAGAAGTTTGTGACAAAGACTTGTAGAAGTGTTTTCATTGATTTGTTTTGTGGCACAATTTAGTAATTGAATATTTTAGAATTGTTTGCAGTATATTGCACCTGTGTGTGATCTAAAGACAACGATTTTAATTAAATAAATTTTTATAGTAGTCGTTATTTTTCTCGATTCACTGTACTTTCACGATCGACTCTCAGTGAAGCTAATTCTCAAGGAACATACTTTGCTCGTTTCAAACAAACTACAGACTTTCCTAGACCACGTTCAGTCGCCAAAATTTTTGAGTGACGTTATCAGATAGTATCGTACTCATTCTATCATAATACAAAAATCTGTTGGAAAATTTGACTAATGGAATCAGATAGTGTTAAGAATTTTCCACATCTGTGGCTTACTGACTATAGATAATAAAAAAATTTGCTGGTAAAATAAAAGCCAAAGACTGTATCTTTCTGTGAGTATAGTTCTTCGTGAAAATTCTAATATTTAAAAATATAGAATTCTTGAAACCTTGAAATATAAAATATATAGAAAAATATTGAAAATGTGGCACAATCTCACCCCTTCAATTTTGGTCGTGTAAATTCTATAAGAAAACAACGAAGTCCTCGAGCAACCGTTATTTTCCACTCTCACCACTTTCACGCTGTTTCCTTTTTTCATTTTCAAGTTATCCACTTTCTCCAGAGCCGTACTCTCTCGCAGAATTAGAATTTTAGACACGAGATCCAATAATCTCCCGGAGAGAGAGAGAGCAGCGAGTTCCCCTGAGATCCAGCGATTCCCGCGCAGAAAAGAGCTCAAGCGGAAGCCGCCTGCATCTCCTTATTTCCGTGCGTGGGAAACAGCGATAGAGTTGCTTCGTATTTTATCAGGATCACCGTCGACGCGGCCGTAAAGTTCGAGGGACACTGTAAATTTCGCGCATCGACGTACACGCGAGCCATATTTATAGCGGGTTCACCTTAACCCTATTTAGAGTCAGCTAATGACGACTGTCTTAGACTATCTTAGGCAATTATTTATATAAAAATTGATAAATCCACTAGGGTGTCTCGAAGAAGTGTATGTTTGGAGCGGTGAATTCTTTAATTTCGAGAGACGTTGTTACGATTCATCTTAACCCTATTTAGACTCACAAGGGAAGTTGTAACCGGAAAATTCAAAAGAATTTGGAACTTCGTTCGACGTTGGCAAGAAAATTATTTTTCGTTTCGGTCCTACCGTTGAAAACAGCTAGTTAAAACAATTACGAGTTTCCATATTACCGTGAATATTTACGAAACCGTGAACAAAGTATGAAAAACAAGTTAAATTCAAAATTGTGCAGTTTTTCATTCCCTACGTTGTGGAGGTAAGGAATTTTCAAGAGTTAAGAGCAGTGGGGTAAATTTTGTAAAAAAGAATAATATTTTCGAAAATTCTTTAATGGCTGTCTTAGGATATCTTAGGCCACTGTTCATATTAACATCGATAAATCTACTGACGTGTTTCGAAGGAAAGAATTTTTTAATCGGTGAATTCTTTTATTGTATATCTGCAAAGAAAGACGTTGTTATGAAGATATTTGGTTAAAATTTCGGGTAAATTACAAACACTTACTAACCCCTTGAGTTATGACTTTTTTGGCTGATCATGCGTATAAATGACAGCTGTTTACCGGTTTAATACTGTATTACGCAAGAAAAGCTAATGTATCGTAGATTACCTAACACCTTCAACGCTCTTCGTTGCTTTTAACGACGCTAAGCGTTAGAGGCAATAACGTCGCTCCACCTTTCTCGTGATTTTCAGGTTATCGATGTTTTTTCAGGCAGGTTTACGCGTATTTATCGTCACGTTTATAGTCGGCCCTGACGTTCCCCAATTTCTCGTCTTATCAACCGTGGTAAACATTTCAAGCACCTTGTTGACGCCTGCATTTTGTAGTATTTGATATGTAGAATTGGAAATATACGTCTTGATCATTTTAGATTTTTATTTTCATGCAATCATAAACTTTCTATAAAGAAATGAGATCGTGCAAAATTGACAGTAGTATTTTAAAAAATATTCAGTAAATGTATCAATCAATTAACTTATCAGTTAAAACTATATTTTGGCACAAAAGCTTCAAGCTTTGATAATTACGTTTTACAATTTTTAACAAACGGATGATATGCCTTTGAAAATATGAAAACACTGCATAATGATTCAAAATTCGAAGCAGTGTATAATGCATTTCAAAATCGAAAACACTGTACAATGATTCAAAATTGGAAATACTGTATAGTACCTTTCAAAATATAAATCGCTATTTAATAATTACATTCTACAAAACTAACAAACGGATCATACGCCTTTGAAAATATAAAAACACTGTACCATTTATTTATTTACTTATTGTTTTCCTTCACACTGTAACTCTTATTCGATCGCAACAACGGAAACCAAATTTTAAACACTCTGCTTACACTCGTAACAAACGATGCAGAAACATCGAGAAATGGTTCAATTAACAAAATGATACGAGTATCAAAAGCACCGTAACACTACCGATTCCAATTCTCACAAATTCAATTCGAGAGTAAGACCGAAGAGTGTGTGTTTTCAACATGCCATGAAAAAAGGGACCTCTAAAAGGAATCCGTTGTAATACTAGCTGTCCCATTAGAACGGTTCAGTTTACAAGCGGGATTAGCCGACGCGCGTGTTATTTTGATGTTCCGGCCGGTTAACGATTTCCGATAATGAATTTCGCGGATTCGATAGGGAAGAAAAGGCCTCGTTTGCTTATGCACGCATTTATAACGAACAACGGAGCTCGGGGATTCACAAGCGGTGACATTATCATAACGGAATCCGCGTCGTTAATTTCCCGGAATTTTCATCGAGCGACGATTCCTTTCCAAGGGGGACGCATTCGTAATGCTCCTTTGATTCCTTCCCTTGTCATGCAGATTTACGTGTGCACTTTAATATATTATTAATGCAATAAGAAAATGAGTCGCATTTGCATTTGGTTTTAATAGTTAGACATTGGGGCAATTATATAGCTAATAAAGCTAAGAATGACAGATGTATTTTTATCATTTCGGTATTTAATAATAATTTATTGAAGAACATCGATAATAATTTTAGTATTTTCATAGTTTCGGCATGTAGAATGTTCTTTAAAGTGAATAATAGCGATGTGTGTATATATGTATATGATATTAAATTGTTTTATTTATTTTTGTTAGAATAAATTTTCCTTCGTAAATCTTTCTATCACAGTTATTTCACTATTTGCATCGATTTCCCAACTTTTATGAATTCTTTTCAACTCAAGGTCGTAGTATTGCAGGACGTTGGATTCATCTGGACCTCAGCTATCATGTCGCGACGATGAAAATTTGTAGTGTCGTTTAAAAAGAACTTCGATAACCTTGAAATCTCGAAAAAAATAACCGTGAGACAAATTTTTTGCCTGTAGTGATATTTGCCTCTTCCAACTAAATGCAGTTTTCCTCTGATATTATTTTTCCTATTATAAAGTATAAGCGAGATATTTAACACTTGTGTCGATAATCAGGTACCCTTTTACACAGTCTCGCTTAAAATATTTGATCTTCCCTGTAAAAGATCGTTATCTGGAACATTTCTTATGCGTCTTTGGTTGAATTTTAGAATGTTGTATATCAGAAAACTACTAAAATTGGACGTTAAAGTGGGCGACAATTGTGGTTATTGGCATAAGAATTAAGATGCACAAATTAGGAGGGACACCCTGTATGTAGTAGGAAAATAGAAGGATCGAAGTAAGTGTGGCGAATAATAGAAAAATGTGGCAAGGTATAATTTATCACGCGACAGGTAGAGAATGTCGGACGGCGTAAGTGAAAGTGGATTAGGACAGTATGTGGTCAGACGTAACTTAATATGTCCTACTAGCTTAACGCCTACCGCGACTTTCTGCAATATTTAACCCTCTTGGTGTTAGCGGCGACTATAGTCGTCCATAGTATAACGATATCCGCACTTCATCGTAGTTAAGCGTTACAGAATGCAACCTTCTGCCTTGTTTGAATAATTCGCTGTAATGGTAAATGTCACTTAAAGTCTTCGAAAGGAAGGTATAACAAATTTTTCAAAACTGTTACTTTTATCGTGGAACAGAGACTCCGAGGATGGAATTTTTATTCAGAATATTAATTTAAAAGTTCTCTTTATAGTTTTAGAAATTTTGCACTTAAAATATTTCATCGAAGTACCTGAAATTTTAAGTATACAGAGAAAATCATTTTAGATAGGTACACCTCGAAAAGAAAACTTGACTCAACTTTCAAACTTGAACTTTTTCAGTTCTAAGAGCAAGTATAGTT